GAATTGGTTATCAGCAAATAATGATTTTATAATTTTAGGCCTATTCTTGCTCCTGACAAATTGCAGGTGAAAAGCCTTAGTTTCTCATGTTGCATTCATTGTAGAAATGAAATCCGTATATCCTGCTGGTTAAGGACACTCATATCCCCCTGATATCTCTTCAAAGCCTGTTCCAAACACCTGCTGTTTCACTATGAATCTCTTCAAAGGGCCAGCTGAAGGACAAATTAGAGTTACAGTTAGCACTATCAAGGCTGAAAGCAGTACTGGCTATTTCAGTTCACTTGCTCTTTTTTGCCTTATATAAGACCAGTCTCAACAACTAATACAAAGCCCATAAAATTATTTACTAGGCTATAATTTACTAAATGATTTTACAGAAAGAAAACTCAAGTGCACTCTTGACTTAATAATGCTGGATGAGCTCCTCCTATAGGCAGGTTATGGCATTACAAAAACATTACATGGCATTACAAAAACATTGAACATAGAACTAGTTTTCCACCAAACAATAGCAATAAAATAAAATATGCAAGCAATTAAAAAATTAAGAAAGGTAAACATGTATTAATTACATGTCAAATGGTACTGATCAGGCCTTTCTTTCTTTTGTAGCAGTTCCAGCAGAGAACACGGTGGACAGGAGCCCAGGCACACACCCCCAGCACACAGGCCTGATCCTGGGCATCCTCCTGGTGTCTCTCATCATGGTGGTGGGGGTTCTGGTCACTGTGTACATCTACCATCACCCCACGTCAGCAGCCAGCCTATTTCTCATCGAGGTTTGTGTGAAAACATGTGAAACTGGTATGTGTGTGTATTCAATGATACACCCGGATGCACACACTCACAACTTGACAAAGATTTAATCCAAAGACAAATAAAGATGCATCTAGAATATAATCTATTTCTATTTTAAAATAAACCAGCCATACACCTCCTCTCCTGAAGACTTAAGAGTTACACCGCTCGCTGTAAAACAAACTGTCTGTATAGAGCCGTGTCTCTGGACAGAGCTCAGTGCATTTTATTCTTCAGTTTCTGCCTCATAAATATGTATTATGGTTTTTCAGAGGGGGTGATGAAACTGCAGCTCTGTTCTCGGTAATGAATGAATGTGAAACCCCAGAGGAGGAGCTGTTTGAAGCATTGTGAACCAAGAGGTGTAAACATGTTTTAAATAAGGAGAGGAGAGTTGGTTACAAGGTCAAAGAAGGAAAGAAGGTCTGTCTCATCATCCTCTTGGCACGGCACACGCTGAACTAAACAAAAAATGCTGTATTGTTTACATTTTACTGCCAAGGTCTGGGAATATTAAAAGTTTTATAGAAGCACTGCCATAACAGTGAGTATAAATATCTTCAGGGACATTTGCATATAAAGGCAAGATCAGGGCAAAAGTGGTACAGTGGTTCCCAAACTGTTGATCAGATTAAAAATTAATATATTTTTATCTAATTATTTATTTAATTACATGTGAACTGCAAGTGCCACAAATCTGTTATTATCTACAATACTATTTAGGAGCAGTTATGTTTCTGATTTACCTTATCTATGCTGCACTGATAACATGGTTGTAATGTATCTAGTTTTGTATACATTGTCCCTGCGTTCCCTATCCTATAAGTGCATTAAGAGGTTGTCCTTGCCGTCAGTCACACAGACTCCAGAGACAGTGGTTCTCCTTTGTCTAATGACATCAGTACCATCCTCAATCAGTGAAAGCTCTTGGATGCTGTCTGTTTCTCTTAGTCTATTCGAGCCCCTCTAAAATGAGAAAAGTATTTGTTGTTTTGTTCAATGAAATGTGAAGGGCTGATTTACTAATATAGAGGTTCAGTATGACTCCATCTGGTATTCTTATATCTTTAGTATTTATAGTTGAGGCTTATATTAGTTTTACATCTTAGTTTAGTCTTGGTTTTGGTTTTGGTTTAGACCTGGTTTTCTATGCATTTCCTCAAGTCTAAATACAGTCCAATACATACAAATAATTATAATAAACTATACAGTCTAGGCTTCTATTATTTGACTCCAAAATGCTTCAGTGTACATGCAGTAAATGTGAGTAAAAATAAACATACTTATTTACAATGTAGTTTGTATAAAAAGTGGTGTTAATAAATTGTTATAGACTAAATCTTAATGACCACCCAAGTTTACCTGTCTAACCATTAAAATCACTTCATACTCCTGTTTTCTTGGTGTGAAAAGTTTGTGAACCACTGCTCTAATATATCATACTATTTGTGACATTTTACCATGTATCTTTGAATCCTCATAATGTGATTCTTTTCTTTGACAGAGACGTCCAAGCAAGTGGCCGGCCATGAAGTTCCGCCGTGGTTCGGGACATCCAGCCTACGCGGAGGTGGAGCCCGTGGGCCATGAAAAAGAGGGGTTTATTGAATCAGAGCAGTGCTGAGAAACAACTATTAAAAAATCCAAAATATTCAGGCTGCTCCTCCCAGCAATTCACTTCCCTCTTGGACCAGACCATCTTGTGCAGCTATTGCAGTGTGCTGTGTCTGATTCCACACGTGACATTTGGGACATTGGATATGGTGGATGATAAGTGATACTGGGGAGTGAGGAAAAAACATTGTTGGTTGGACTAGAATCACTGACGTCAGCAAGTCATTTGATGCCATTGACGACAGGCCAAATGCTCTCTGAGGAGGGGAACTGGGGCAATTTTACAGTATATATTTTCAGAACAATACCTGAACAGAAATGCTCACTATATTGTCAGTGGGGTATACAGTATATGCCTTTGTATATGTCAGGTTTATTTTTATTTTTTATTTTTAGGGTTGGCACATGTTTCTGTATAGACCAGACTGTGGTGGCTGTTCCCATTGACTTTTCCACAGAAGCATTGGCACATGATGTAGAGCTCTTCTCCTGTCACTGCAGCTGGGAATACTCTCAGCAATCGCTTAGTTATGATTTTTTTTTTTTTCCATAAAATATAAGTAGGGTTTTTAATTGTTTTGGGTGATGGGCACACACTATCCACTTTTACATAACTACTGTGCCATGTTGTCCATCGTTTTGCACAATTATTTGTCCATGCACATTTAATTTTTTTTTTTCATATGACACGTTACTATTGCAGATTGACAAGACAGGCGCTTGTGAGTGTATGTGATTTATATTTTCTATAGTGTACATGACGTGTGGGTGAGGGCAGTGGTGACCTGGTGTCCTTAATTCTTCGAGCTGGCTCTGCACAGGCGGTCCCTTTGACACACTGGTTGGCTTTGGTTTGGTGTGCAGTATGGATATTCAATTACTATTATTATTTTCTATGGTGATAATTTAACTCATTGCAGTTAAATTGCAGGTTGTGTACATACCAAGGCCTAAACATTTGCAGATTCAGGTAATTCATGACAAGCCTGTTATTTCACATCTGTATACAAGACATCTTATTCTGTATGAGTGGCCTTTATTTTGCTACTTTTTTACTTAAATGTGAACAGTACAATGGTTGCCGCCACAAATACATCGCATCAGAAATACACTTTTATTTTTTAGAGCTGATATTGAGAAATCATTCCAACAAATTAAAATGTGCAATATGATACCCATTCCCTTTTCAGAATATAATTTGTTATTATTTACTAATTCATACAATTTACCACTTTCATCTCAAGACCAAAGAATATTCAGTAAGTTAGCAAAATGAAATATGTACCTCAACTACAGATACTGACCACAACAGTAGCAATCAATCAAGCATTTCTAGTACAATTAATTTAAATTTTTATCATAATGTTATAAATATGTACATTTGCACAAATATTCACTTTCAGATTAGGTATAAATTTCTCACTCAAAGTAATTCACAACACTTCAACAAAAAGATTCAAGATATACAGATTATTTTACAGCTTTTACAGATCCAGTCCCATGTATGAGCAAAAATATTCATTCCAATTCACTTCAGAAATATGATGCTTCAAGACATCTTTTTATTCTCATAACATCTCTCCTAGTCCTGTTTGATGTGCACTTGTCACCTGTAACTACAAGAGTGTATGTGTTCACCAGGTAATGTGACAGGGAGAGGTTTGTATCATCATGGTTTATTTCTTTGTTTTTCTCAAAGGACATGCTGGCATTTCAATAGACTGTAAAACAAAGGTTCTGGTTTACTCATACGACATTTCTCCACAGCACAAAGCAGGTGTCTAAATCTCGCAATATCACACGTCTGTAATTTGTGTAATTGTTTTTGATTACTTTGGAAATAATAAATATGTTCTTTAAAGCAAAGTGTTGTTTTTTGGTGGAAGTTCGTGGCAGGCTCTAAAACCTAATGAATTAAGGATAATTATTAATAACATGGGATTGTAGTGCCAAAAAAAATATGTCAGACATTTGCGTTTACTATGGGCTAAAATGTGTTAATTATTTGAGCTCGAAGCAATTACCCCTCTTAAATCGTGATAATAAATATAATGGCATGCAAGGTCAAGGGAACTTCCAAGCGCCGGACATGGCCTCATGGTGCCCTCTGGAGGAGAAAACAAAATTGCACAATCCAAGAAGAACTAAAAACGTCAATGCATGCCACGCCCTTTTCCTAGCAATGACTATTCATTTCCTTAAGTTTTTCCCCGAGCTATTTTCTTAAGTGATACAGTATTTCTAAGAACATGTAAATGTTTTGTTTGTAACCAATATAATGCCAGATTTAAATACACAATGATAATTGTATAGTTATGGAACTACTGTATACAATAACATGAGAAAGCAGTCTGAGACATGAGCCGCTTGGACTGAGAAACACAAACAAAGCACTTATATGTGACAAAGAGCAAGGGCCTGTCCGCAACAGCTGACTAACAGAGGTATCACTGATGGAAGACAGTAGTAAATATATCTTTAGAACATACAGTACAAACAAACACAACTGTGCTGTACACAATGCTTCCCATGAATAGGCAGGCCAACAGTCTAAAACCAGCTGAGCAATAAATTGATACAAAAAATGTTTTGCTTTTTGTGTTATTATAAATGTACAGAAGTAACTTTATTCAATCAGTGTACATTTTAAAGTTTTCCTAATTTGAACAAGTTTACAGTCCAATACAAACAGTAACAAGATGGATTATTTTTTAGATGGAAAGGCTGTATCTGTATGTATATTACATTAAATTGCGATTACATTATTAATTATCAGTAACATAAAGGTGGGTAGCTAGGGCAGGAGCTAAAATAACAACATACACACAATACATGATACCATTTTAATGGTATTATATTATATTTTTAAAAAAGAAAGGTTTGGTCATTAAAATTGAAACTACATTTTACATTTTGCAGCACTGTAGTAACAATGTTATAGTGCATCTTTCCTGAACAATATACTTCAAAGGAGTGTTTTGCTATTAAAAATGGTCATGTCTGTTAATGTAACAGCTTGTGCTTTTTAAAATCATCATTCATACAAGTCATTGATATAGATAATCAACATTGTTTCAAACTACAGTTTGCCTATACACACACACATATTACCAAATAACAAAGTTTGATTATAAATAAATAATCACACAGTTTTGTACATTCTTAACATTTCAGCAACATTCATTTTGAAAAATAGGGCATCTTTACCATCAGAGATCCGGGCTTCTCCTGAGACAAAGCTGTCACAGGTATCGGGTTAATCTGAAACCAGAAGAGGCAAGTCCATTATTAATAAAGGTCCCTCTGTAATGACAGATAAAGTATAGAAAGTCTTATAACATGTACTCACTTGAAACTGGTTCCACTTCCATCACTTTGGACAGAGACAGCCCAGAGTTCTGTTTGGGCCGTGCCCCGAGCTCCTTAACATCTCTGTCCTGGTTCTGATTCTCATCTTGTGGCTTCTTTTCCTCCACCTTCTCCTGTGGGATAAAGTGCCCCCCTTCTTCAGCCACCAGCTTTTCCACCCTTTCCATTAAGCGTCCCACTTGAGGATGCTCTCCAAATACACAGTTATTAATGACAAAGTACCTCCGCTTGCACTTCTCTAGCACCCACAGAAGGTCCTCACCCTCTCTTCGAATGTAGCGCTCTATAGAAATCTTCCTTAGGAGTTCCACCCAGGGAAACACCACAATTGTGTGCTTCCAGACATTTTCACCAAAAAGACTCACGTGTTCCTCAATTCGGGATCGGTCCACGTCTGTGAACATTCCCACCGGGATGACCAGGAGGAAGGCATGAGGACCAGGGGGACAGAGAGTGGCCCCTTTTACAAGTTCCTGTTTATAGGAAGGTGGTGTGTCTTGTGCAGAGAACCAGCCTGGGGTGTCCACTACAGTGACATGCCGCCCCTTTACCTCTGTCTGTCTCTTAACACAAAACTCTGCAGCACGCTCCAGTCGAAAGTCCTCTCTTCCCAGGATGGTGTTTCCTGTCAGACTCTTTCCAGGCCACCTCCAGCCCAGCACCACCAGACGGATCTCATCCAGGTGGGGCACAGGTGCTGCAGCTGCGCTGTCCTGTATGGTCTCCTTTGTGACACCAGGGGCAAGGTCTGATAGGACAGAACATTACAATCACTAATTAGAAACAGATTATAAGTAAAAGAGAAATGTAGGATCTTAAGGTGCCATTACACAATTATCCACGAATGATTATTCAATTATTTTTCTAAAAAACTTTTGCCTGACTTTACAAGTTCTTCCATTTAATCTTAAAGGTGTGGTACGTGTAAACATATGAAACGTGCCACATCTCACATCCCGCTTAGTTCACAGAGTAATGGCCTATCTCCAGCTAAAATAGCTACTGCGTTAATAAGCGCGCGAACTCTTTGTGCGTAAATGCGCCAAAACAAAGTTCGTATTCACTCACCTTTAGTCTCAGCGGGGGTGTTAGAGTCCATGACCGAGTTTACCTGACTATGTGGACTTTGTTCAAAAGGTGATCCTGAGAAGGATAGAAGTTTGCCTCTTTGTCGAACTTCCTGTACTTTTTGACAGATGTGTCAGTCATTTGTCGCATTCTTAACAATTAGAGTACTTCCGGACTTTCAAAATAAAATGCGTGTATTAAAAAAATCCATTATTGGTAGGATTAGGATCCATTATAGATTCAATAGAGTAGAATAGGTCTGTGTTCGGTAAATAGTAATATGATTATTAAAACGTTAAGAGATGTTATGGGCATAGCATTTTGCTGTATTCTTTAGAATGACAGACACATTTTAATATGATCTTTATGTATTTTATTGTTTGCATAGACAGGCCCAGAGCAGCACCTTCATGTAGCAAAGTAAATAATTGCAGTAATTATATACAATATGATCCAATGCCAATAATGATTATGGCATCAAGAACATAACTCTACATGTATACAATGCATCAAATTTATTTACAGGTCTACCAAAACATTATAGCATATTTCCACTTTGCATTTCCAAAAACAGTGTAATTTGATCAATTATGCATGAGAAAAAAGAAGATGTGAAATCACCCAAGGCTCTATTTATAATTCCTTCACTTATTTTGTATTATATTACACACAGTTTGATCTAAAACTTTCAGATAAAAGTCTGTAGAAAAAACTAAACTTTGTCAAGTATTTTATAACCACGCATTAGGTTCCCCATGATGCCAGCATGCGCATGTCATCTTCCTCTTCAACCTTTCTTCTGGATGCTGTAATACAAAAACACAAAATGTTTGTTATAAAAAACTTTATTTATCCTAAAATGTAGCAAGATAATATTTGTACTTGCACATATTTATTTATACTTATTCATACTTATGTCATGTTTTTCATCACTTCACCAAATTATGAATGTGATTATGTGACAATAGAACAAACCAAAAAATAGATGTAACACATGTATTTTAAAACCACTCTGTGATAATCTATCAATTCTAGTAATTCTCAGTGTTTATCAGGTCTAAGTTTTACATACATGTACGCTGGCCAGGTCGTGCTGAAGGTAGTTTAGATGCAGGAACACTAGGTAGTTCACCCATAGCATCCTCTAGTTCCTCCTCCTCCAGCTCAGCTAACTCTGCAAGAAGCTCGTCCTAAAACCAGATGAATTTACATGTTTAGTTTATTTAATTAACTTATTTTTTTCACACAGGATAGGAATAACACAAACCTCATCAAATGCTTCTCCAATAGGTCCAGAAATGGCCTCACTGATCTCCTTGGCGAGGTCCTGTTGCTCTCCAATGTCTAACATCATGTCCTCGATATTGTTAATGTCCCTAAAATCAATACATTACAAAACGTTAGAAATGAAAGAGTTTTCACAGTATTATTTTTCCTATAATGTGTTCTGATCATCTTACAAGCTCTCATGGACTTTCTTCATAGCCTGTGCAGCATAACCCATATTTTTGAGTACTTCTGTGTTGGTGTGGGAATTCTCCAGCGCTTCTCTCTGGAACTCAATAGTGGATAAGGTGCCATCTATCTGTGTAAGCTGCTGCTCATACCTCTTCTTCCTCTTCAGGGCTTGTAAAGCAGCTAAGAACACAAACAAATGGAAATCATAGCCTACAGTTAAGTTCACAATTTCCTTGCTTTCTTTGCTGTAAGCAGGCCTATCACTGCAACCTGGGTTAGGCATTCTCAAACAATTGTCCCTCCCAAAACAGGTTCTTATTTTTAGGCTCACATGATTCACTGTACTGTGTGTAGCCATAATTCAGGAATATTATTCATACATCATAAGATTAATTATGACAAAAGTAGACTAATCAAAAAACAAAATAAGTAAAAACAAAATATGTAATTTAAACTTAGTTATGATCATGAGCCTAGCTACATGAAACTGGACATTAGGCAGGATACTTCTAAGAAATTAAACAGGTGCACAGGCTTGAATCAGATAAATTTACCTTTTTTGTTTTTGGTGCCATGTTTCTTTGCTGTTGCTATTTCCTGCTGTATCCTCTGCTCCAGGTAGGCTTGCTTCTTTGTCAACATTTCCTCTGTTTCCCTGAGTTTGTGGATAGCCTCTTGGGGAGAAGGTCCTCCCCGTGACCGATGTTTGGACTTGGAAGAGCTCGACGAATTGGAACTTGAGCTCCCCTTGAAAAGTTTGGAAATCTTGCTCATTTTGGCAGCTTTTGTAGACCTATATTACAACGCAAGTTAAAAACTTACACCTTTCAAGTATGGACAGCCGTCCGCACCTGTGTCTATAAGCGGGTGTGTGGAACCAGCAGTATTTCCAGCTTAACAACTTTGTTGGTGGCTCTGTTCAAAGCAGCCAGTGAAAGCCTCGCCGCACCTTTCCCCAGTTACCTCCATGACGTCAACACCTGAAATTGCCCCTCCCCCGTCTACTAATCTATTCTATTCACAAATTATTTCACATTTCAGCCCTTTTCGAAATATATGTTTTATTTCTTAGTAATCTTTATAGGCAAAATAAGACGTGCGCATAATATAGACCTATATATTTACATTATTTTATTTTGTAAACGCTTCACAGGAAAACAAGGAAGCAGACGCATCTTTTACTTCCGGGAGTCAAAGTTGACAATTAAAACGCACTATTTGGCTGATGTTTATTTCAGCGGCTTGAGTTTATGCTCGTACTTACCAAATTCGTAATGGCTGAATTGGAAATTGGAAAACACTGCCAAGTTGAATCGTGTAATTTAAAAGGTTTGTGCCCCTTTTCTCTATGTAAAATATAAACTTAAGTGCAATGTTTACCAGAGATAGCAGAGTTAGCTTTTAGCTAGTTGGCAGCTAAGCTAATACACCAGACTAGTCAAAGCTGTACAGCCTACTAGTAACGTATGTTTTCTTTGAACATATATTATCGTGTGTAGTATGGCTAGTGGCAGATTTAACCAAACAATCTTTATTTCAGACTTTCTCCCTTTTGTCTGTGAATTTTGCAGTGGGGTTTACTGGTATGTAAAAATGTTGTCATAGTGTAAATAAAAACAAAAAAAACATCTCTGAATAGCGTCTCGATTAATTAAACAGTCACATGATGCTGATTTATTTTATCTGTACTTATCAGCCTTGAGCACAGAAGCAGGGATTCTCACACATGCAAGGAGGTAGGCATCAACTGAACAGAAAAGGGTTTGTTAATTCAGTGCCAGTTTCTGCTGACAATTTCGCATTTAGGAACCGGCGAGAAGAGAAACCCCGGCTTCAAGAGGCAGTACGAGTTATCCGTGCTCATTTCAGGATTGTACTGGGAAGGAGTTGTTGCCTGTTATATGTCCACAGTGCCAAAAACATTTCTGTTTGATGTAAGTGTACTTGCTCCTTAACCGTGAAATGTGTTCTCCTAAACATCAATTTAAACAGCTACTTGCTAAAATGCATTTTCAGACATAGGCATCAAAGTGATCATCAATGTGAGAAGTTGGAGGTTTCTAAACCACGAATGGCAGCCACTAAAGAGCTGGTGCAAAAAATTGTAGGTCAGTTTTTTTCTCCATTAAATTCTACATCTTGCAAAGCTGTTCATGTGGTCTGCAATCTGCTTAATTGCAGTTTATTATTTTACAGAGTCAAAAGAAGGACAGAATCCTAAAGGACGCAGAGGAGCAAAGAACAGTGAAACTGCAGCTAAGGTAGCCTTAATGAAATTAAAACAGCAGGCTGTAGGTGATAAGGGGCTTCCGCAGGTACACACTTGACCTTATATGGTTGTTCATCATCAAGTCATCATGTAATTTATGTTAATAAACCTTTGTCTAGACGGAGAGAACCTACTTTCAAGTATATCTGCCCAAAGAATCAAAGGATTTATGCAAGCCCATGTTCTTCTGCTCTAAATGGAGTGTAGGCAAGGTGGTTGACTATGCAGCCTCTCTGGCCAGCTTAAAGAATAACAACAATGTTTTGTCTGCAAAGGTATGTGCTAGATGGTATATCAAATATTTTTCACCAGCAATATATGTGATCATTATAAATACACCAATTCGTACATCATTAACATCCCAAAACACTTATAATTACTGTAGATACTGCATATTCTGCTATAGTGCCATTTTATTTGAGGCAAACAATTTGTGTATTTAGTAGTACATTGATAATAAACTGTAGTATTTGTTTCTATGGGGGTTGTTCAGGAAAGTATATTCCAGATTGTTAAACATTTGTCCAGCTGAAATTGAATTTCTCCTTTGCCATGGATTCTACTTGGACGACTGACGATTCTACACACTGATTGTTATCAGTTAAGAAAGGAGACAATATTCACACTAATTATAATTCACTGAATGTTGTTACATTTGTTTACAGAAACTACGGCTATGTCACCCCTTGACTGGAGAAGCATTTAAGATGGATGATAGCCTCCAGTCCTTACTGACTCTTTCAGAAACACCTCTTTACAATGGGGGAAATGTGATTTTGGAGTATTTGGAAAATGACCTCACCAGTTTGAATGATGTTTCTGAATACGTCACTCTTAAGTGACTTAAGAACATTTAGTTGCTCATTGTTTTACATTATGTTATTGCTTCTACATTAAATTCCTATACTCCTCTTGCTTTCATTTACTTAAAAAGTATGAATCACTTGTATTTTAGATATTTATCCCATGAATGCAAATTCTCACGTTAGGCATAGGGTATTGTCTATTTATCCCTTCCCGATTGGTTGTTTATTAGCTGTAGCTTGACGAATAGACGTGGGTCTGCGTGAATTTCACGTATCTCACGTACGCAGTATTACCTGTTAGCAAATATTTAATGCAAAAAATAGTGCAGCAATTTTGTGCAGAACAAGCCTACATTTGCAAACTATTAAACTGGTAAAATATCTAATACGCAACACCATCCTTAAGCCTTTTAACAAATATTCAAAAGGGGTGGGCTGTTGAAAATTTTAACCAATGATGTCTGTGTGAAACTACTATTGACGGGTGAAATAGCCAATTACCAAAGAGCTTAAAGAAACGGGTGGGCGTGTCTATTTGGTGACATATATAAATGAAAAGGGGCTGGGCTTTATCTCGAAGACGATACCCTTGTTTTGGACGGAATTGATGTATAGTTGAGTCTGTCGACGAATTACCGTTATTTTTGCATTTTCCCCGTTTAGCACAAGTAGCTTTTTGCTGCTTTTTGATCGAGTCGCTGAGAAAAAGCGACTTGGTCCTACTAATCCAGACGTCTTTGTAAAATCAGGTCGAAAGGGATGCCGCTGCAGATAGACTCCGACGTTCGCTCCCTGGATTTAATTTCATCGCATTTAATCGGACAGAGCAGTTTTTGTATAGTCTTAAAGGGTTTCAGTAACAGCCATTCTCGACCGAGTGCTTTTGTAAGATGCATAAGTTCTTGTTAAACAGTCATCTGTGAAGTGGAAATTCAGTTTGAGCAGCTAACGGCTAATATTAGCAACTTGACAAAGCGGGGATATTTATTTTTTTTCAAGAAAACTATTGGTCCAAGAAGACGTTGTACTTATTTTAAGATTTTTAACCGCTCATTTTGATAGTACAACTGAAATTGGTAAGTATTGTGTAATATGATGTTTTTAAAAACCAGGAAGACAATTTATTTACCTAACCTAGTGGGGGAGGGGGAGTTGATTTACAGAAAGCGGAAATAGTGTTTTGGTGATCATCAAGCGCCCCCCAGCGCCATTCTCATTTTATTTACGTTAGATCCGACATTTAATAATTTTCAATATTTAGCCTATCATTGTGCTTAGTTAAATGTTAATTTACGTGATGCACAAATATCCAAGTGGCTGCCTCTGTAATTTAATACATGCATGTTTTTCTGTTCATTGCACTTTGGCTTTCCTAAAAATATTTAACATTCCCAACAAATTAATTAATGTTGAACATGTTATCACATTTTGATATGTTATTTTCTATTAATGTTGATGGTGTTAATCACGATCCATAAATTTTTCCATATAGGTCAAAATGAAGCTTTTGGAAAACTCCAGCTTCGAGGCCCTGAGCTCCAGGCTGTGTGTGGAAACGGGAGAGTCTCGCATTCTTGGCAGGTAAGGGTCTTGTATGGTAACAGCTGATAACACTGCTGTATACTTTCAGATATATACACTCTGGACAACTGTAGTGTGAGAGATTCTATTTTTATGCTAAGGTGTTAATCTATACTATAAAGTGTTACATATTTTGAGAAGTTTAAAGCCTGTTGTTCCTACTTAACAGCATTTATTTTAGTAGCATTGGCTTAGCTTGAAGATCACATGTTTGAAGTCATTAAAGAGTCATGGAATGGTAAACTAAAACTAGGAAGCAGTGTTCACACAGAAAAAAACACTGTGATGTAATGGAAAAAGGGTTAAGAGAGGCGTGGTTCAGAACAGTGCCCCAATTAAGGCTAGTGGAGCAGACAAATATCAGTGTGTTGTGCAATATTGTGATAAGAAGTAAACCTGTGCTTGGTCCCCCTTCAGTCCAGCTTAATAGTTAACTGATTTGACTTGTTGGGCTGATTAATGTCCTTTTGGTTATGTAAGGTCTTAACTATCTTGTCGTTACAGTAACAGTGTTGTTGTTACATAAAGCATCTTCTTTGAGTGGGGGCTGGCTGTATTCTGGCACAGTTTTTGATGCAGAGAGACTTGTGTGTTCACGTCTCCCTCCCTGTGCATGTAAAAGTCAGCTGTGAGGTGTAATGAGTGTTTTCGTGTGCATGTAAAAACGATTCAATGCTTCAGGGCTTAGGCTGCACTGCTAAGTGGATTGTCATAGCAGGCCATTACAACATCTTTACTTTAGTTTGTATTTAGATGTGGTAGTACAGTCCCCATATTATGTAAAATAATTGTCCACCAAATATGCCCCCTGTGTTGTGATAAGTCATCTGGGTTTCGGGTGAAAAAGGAGGACCGTTATTTCCACTGTGCTGTCCAGACAGAAGTTTCTATATTTAGACTGCAAAGACCAATGAGTGGTTCCTTGGCCACTCATATAAAGTTGCACAACCTTTGCTCTTGCATAACCCTTCGGTGGCCTGGAGCAAAATAAACATCCAAGCAACAGACATATCTGAGATGTCTGACCCAGAAATATGAACCGAGATGTTGGAAATGTAACCCCAGGTTAACACTAGTGGGGTCATGGGTATCAGGGACACAACGTACTGCAGACATCGTGTATACATACATTTACGTCAGACTGTAATTACCGTAACCAACATAGTGTGGCCAATTTCATGAGTACAGAGAATGTCATAGGGTTTGGGTAGGGTTCAGGGTATTATCAGGACAAGGGCAGATGTCTGAAAATTGTACACAAACAGTAGTTTTGTAATCTCTGTATTTAAATAATTTAATTCTGTTATTGTTGCCTCCCAGGATTGAGAGCTACTCCTGCAAGATGGCAGGGGATGATAAGCACATGTTCAAGCAGTTCTGCCAGGAGGGCGAGCCCCATGTCCTGGAGGCCCTGTCTCCCCCTCAGTCCACCAGCACCATCAGTCCAAACCAGTAAGTGCCAAGGGAATTATATATTTGTGAGTGGTGATCATCAGTTTTTAATTGCTTTTCCTTTGTGCATTCTGCAGGCTGGCTAAAAGCAGTGAGGATGGGGAGAACCCACTGAGTGACAAGTGTTGCAGGAAGACCATATTCTACCTCATCACCACGCTCAATGAGTCCTTCAGACCGGACTATGACTTCAGCGCTGCACGGGCCCATGAGTTCAGCCGAGAGCCTAGTCTCAACTGGGTCAGTATATTAAGAATAAGTAGTTTTTTCAGAATTACAGCCAGGGCAATCAATAATGCCAGCGTTTTTGCGTTCAGGTGGTGAATGCCGTGAATAGCAGCTTGTTCTCAGCTGTGGGAGAAGACTTCAACTCTGTTGGACCAGAGCTCTGGAACTCCATTGATCAAGAGATCAACCTGCAGAGCTGTGACATTTACAGGTAGGTTTAATTTTGTCTTATCAACTGTGAGCCACAATTTGAGTGTAAACATTTTTGTCTTTTGTAGCTACAATCCTGATTTGGACTCTGACCCTTTTGGTGAAGAGGGAAGTCTCTGGTCCTTCAACTACTTTTTCTACAATAAAAAACTGAAGAGGATTGTGTTCTTCACCTGCCGCTCTGTCAGGTGAGAAAAGATATCATTTCCATAGTTGCACTTCTGATGCTGATAAAATGTTGTTTTAATGATTAATTTATGTGTCTCTAGTGTCCTGAGCGGCTATGGCCTTGGGTCACTGGACAATGAGCTGGACATGGAGCTTGATGATGAGGAGGAGATGGATGGCTTCACTGAGGACAGGTGGGGCTGACCAATATCTTGAAACATAATGGTTTATTAAGTCTGTTGCTAAGTTTTTTTTTTTGTTTTGTTTTTTTTATCCCTAGGTTCCCCAGAGCCCTCTGTGTGTAGATTTCCCAGGATGCACCTTGGCCATCTACACTTTTTCTCCTTTTCATCTTGTCTTGTTTTTAGGATTTGCTGCATCACCCAAAGCCATTTTCAAGACTTTATGCATGCCTGCAAGCATTCTTCTTTGTTAGCTCCAGTTGTGTAGCATTGGTGGCAGACTTTTTGTTGAACCCTCCCCTCTTTATAAGCTCCTTCTCTGGTTTGTTTTATTTTACTCATACCCAGCAACAGCACAATTACCCACCACTATGACTCCAATTCACAAAGCAAGAAAAGAGAAAATTTTATTTTGGAGGGACTACACTGCAAGGACTACAATGAACTGAGAGAGGCTTGCTCTACACCAGCATCGATGAGGCATGATGGACTTGAAAGATTTCCAATAGAGCAGCCAGTGTTGTGCTGGGTCCATGAAAGACTGTTCTACTTTTGGTTAAAGGCACCTGTGTGTTCTGCGTTTACTGCAATTTATGTGTTGCTTTCTAAGTGTGACATTGATGTTACTGTGAGTTGTTTTTTTTTTTGTTTTTTATTAAGCATTACGAAACCTTATCAATACAATGGATGCTTACCTATATTTGTTAGCCAGGTAACTCCTAAATTTGCAGCTTATTACATATCTGCTATTCCCAGGTGTCCCGATATTTTTAGTCCACTTTGTTTTTAATGTTGTCTGTCAGTATTTTTTTTTTATTAACCTGAACATTTTAATCATTGTCTCACCCATTTGATTAGATGGAGGCCAGTGTAGTAGCTTCACTGAATGTGCAAGAGATTGCTTTAAAAATGGGTTGTTTTAGATATTTTTTCAGTGTTCAGGAATGCGATTTCTGACTACTCTAAGCTAATGGCCAATATATTATAAATGTGATTAAACTGATATTTCAGTCCAACTTGTGATTCACCGGTTATTTGAATTAGAATTCACAACACACCAATGTAGTTTTACATTTTTATTATAAACCATAATGTACATGAACCAGACATGTATGCACCCAAAATGTTGAAGCATTAATTTAAAATGCTGCTTCAAGCCTCCTAAGTATGGTCAGTCTTTTCAAATTCAAAAGTATCAATTCCCAAGAACTGCCAGAAGATGGTCCCCTCTATTCATGTATGCATTTATTCATGATCACAAATGAACCTCTGCGGCCTTTAAATTTCAACCCTTACGGAGATTGTAGAAAGAACGCAGAATGTCAAAGTGACCCTGTGCATAGAACTGAATTCGATGGAAAGGTTAAAATTGTGAACAGTAACTACACAGTTCAGCACACTGTCCACTAATGTGCAGCAGCTTCATTAAGGCTGAGGATCAAGCACAATAGTCTCTGGTCTCCAAATATTGACAAAGGACACCACTGAACCACCACACTTCCATACAAGAGTCTTTAATGTGGCACATGGCAGCAAACTGCCTAAGTGGTACAAGAGCAGTTTTCATTTGTCCACCAAGACAAGGAATCTATGTAATCCCTTTAGAAACATCACATAGTTATGTCTGAATGAATGTCCCAATCGCTACAGTCAAATGAATGAAATGTTTTGGGACACAATGACTTATATTTGCAGAGCACCAAAATCTTGCAATACTAAAGTCTGCATCGGCACCGCCTGACAGCTTACAGAACTTAAAAAATTAAATACAACTGAAACACAATTAACAAAATACATAAAATACATTTAACTAAAACCTTTACACAGGCATTGTATTGTTGACTTACTGTTGCAGCCAAATCATGCTTTGTTAAAGTAGATTCCATTTGCATTAGGGAGATACTAAAATGTAACGCAAACCATATGGTTCAATCATTTACAGGCTCAATGTTAAGAAGGGCAATTTCATCACAACATTATTGTATCACAACCATTATTAATTAAATGTGATTATTTGCATCACAGTGTAGCTTATGAACTCTTGTAACAAAAGAATGAGAACTTGATGTAAAATAAAGTGTAGTGTAATTAAAGTAGTGTCAAAAATACTGCTGCAAATCCCACATCCCTTTCCATGTTTTCCTGAATGTGAACACACCTAGATGAAGGCAAAAAAAATAAAATAAAATCACACAAAATAAGTAAAGTATATGGCGTACATAGATGATATGTTTGAGGTGTCAATGATCCATGTCCATTGCAACTGAAAATCTCCTTTACAGTAAAAACTTTCCCATAACCAGGCTAACCCCATGTTTAGGCAGTCTCACTGTAACAAGTATTTCAATGCTCTTGTCCTATGCAGTTCCAAGAGATCAAGGTCCATCATTGTCCATTAAAAAACGTAAAAACAAAAACATCCATCAAGACGCGCTGTGAAGCCATCTTGTGAGTGGCGCAGGTAGTCAGGCAATGGCAAAGAGATGTTATCTTAATCCAGCCCGCGAGGTCATCCACTCAAGGCCTTGGCATAAACTACACAAAACCAAAAATATGTCAATAACTCAATAGTGCAGTACAACCACATTAATAATGTAATGTTAAGTAACGACATATGCATTCTAAGCCTGTAAACTGTAAATTGATGTTAATACTGCCTGGTGCAGCATTTACAATGGTCCATGTTCAGATTGAACAAAATGAACATGACAAGTGACAAGCGTCATACTAAACTAGCTATAAGTCAGAATCTTATTTTACTTGATGTTATTTAAAGCTACCGTTTGTAAGTAAGTTGGCTGACATGGTCTTGTTGTATCCTTGAGTTTTTATTACCTATAAGTAGATTGATACAAAAAAGTGATTCCTTAAGATCTTGCTGCTGTCCTAACGTGTGGTGACAATTATGAATAAATAAGGAAATAGCCCAACATAGACCTGTGAAATAAGTTGTCACACTAGACAAAAATCTGGTGGTCAATCTCTTACCCCTCTCCAGTAAGTGCACAACATGACTGTATGTGCCAGGGGTGGTCTTTGATGGAGCTCAGGGTGAGGTATTTAGAAATCTCAGCTGCAGACATACAGTTCTTCATATCCTGCTTGTTCGCAAATATCAACACAGCTGCTTTCCGGAGATCCTGAAGAGGTAAAAGAAATAAAAACAGAACAATGAGACCATATCAGTGTCACCTTGTACTATATGCATTAAACAAAGAACAAGGTGGTAAGGGCTAGTCTCAAAGGAAAATCAATGTTCATTACAAAAACAGGGTTAGTGTTGTATAGTCTACTTCCTCTGCTCCATTGAAAACAGGCATTTACCTCATGAGCCAGCATCCTGTAGAGCTCCTCTTTTGAAATAGCCAACCTCTCTCTGTCTGTGCTGTCCACCACCAAAATAATAAACTGTGAATTACAAGAAAAAAATTTAGTCTTGAGTGTCTTTATACAAATATGCCTTCTGTGCAGACCAAAATGCACCACAGTAGGTGGGCATATCCGGACCCTGGGTTCCACAAAGGCTGTTTTTAACGGCTATGCTAATACCCCTTATGAGTGTGACCTTGTATGACAAAAGACCAAAGACACATTGATTCTGAGGAGACACAGGAGACGGCAATTAAAAGTAAGCAACGACCCAGGAAGAGGCCAGTCTCTATACACATGAAAAGGCTACATGCATTTTACCAGCACAACAGTGGCCTGGCCATGGGAGTTAATATGCCTGTTGCTCCTTGACTTTGTAATAGCATTTGAACGGTGCCTTCTACGCTTCTACCAATCTACCCATCTATCTACCCATCTAACTATCCACCTATCTATCTCTTATAAATTCTTTACTCTAAAATAATAATTTTACAAAGTTAAGAACTAGGAATTGTTATCACTATCACAATCCGGCCTTTTCTATTTCACATCAGATGAAGCCGAACCTAGGCTTTAAGGCAGTTCTTTGTCAGTGGTTGACCTCTGACATGGGCGGCCCTTGCTCCGTCTGTGCTCAGAACACACACACCAGCTGTCATGCTCACGGACAGGCTGCTGGACAAAGCCAAAGAAATAGCAGGCAGCCTTTATTCCACTTGTCCTGGAACTATCTCTGCAGATGGTATCACTCTTACCTCTGTATTGGAGTAGTAGGTGTTCCATGATGACCGGAGAGACTCCTGGCCTCCAATATCCCACATCAAGAAGTGGGTGTTTTTCACCACTATTTCTTCCACATTGCTTCCAATGGTGGGAGATGTGTGGACAACTTCGTTCATTAGGCTTAAAAATCAAACAAATATTATGTGTAAATGCATGTTAAATGGTTTAGCGTGATAACAGTGACTGGATGTAAACCAACTTACAACTGGTAAAGGATGGTAGTTTTCCCAGCATTGTCAAGTCCAACAATTATGACTTTGTGCTCTGTAAAATAAATAAATAAAATACCAAAGTTTATAATAAAAACTAAACAAAATCAACCTCACCAACAAGATGATTCAAGGTGAATTCAGAGTGACACAACATAAATTAATTTGGCATTAACAGGTTAAAACTAAATGGCCAGACTTTTAAATACCACAGTAGCCTCCTCCTCCTCCACACTAGCCTCTCTCCGTATCTCTTTTTTACTTTTGAGGGCAGACAAACCTATGGTCAGAGTGCGAGCTAACACATACATGCCAAAATGTACCACTCAGTGGTTTGGCTTTTCCACTGTCCTGACAGCTCTAGCTACACACAGAAGTCTGGTCAAAGGCCTCACAATGCAGGCCACCAGGTTACACTGTATTGGGGTTACTTTGATTACAACCACGTCACTATCCCTGTGGATGTGTTACACAAAGAAAGTGGATTTATGTCAACAGGCTTTTCAAAACACTACTGTAATCTCTACGTGAGTGAAACTTGACACTGGGAACCATGTAATCCTGAATTAGTGAATGGACGTAGAATAACTCCTCCCATTTTACTGTCAGGACAGAGAACGGACATATATACTAAAGAACAAAAATACATATGCAAAACATTAACATTCACATCACACTGCATAGCCTATGCATTTACTTTACTAGCACAATGACTAGTTGTACAAATACAAACATAACATGCTGAATACGCGCTCTGGGCTTTAGTGACTTAAGATAATTAAATTGTTTTAAGACGGAGATGACCAGATTACCAATGGCATTCTCCTTTCAATAAAGTAGTTCAACCATTGCCACATATTTAGAGCAATGGCTCCACATGATCAATAAATTAACACGATTTATTGACATGCAGCTGTCGAACATCTCTACATGGATCACTGGGGATAATAGTCTACTTCACTACATGCTAATAAGAGGATAAGCTATCTGGGGTTACTGAGCTGTGTCAATTTATGAAGCACATGGTATACTCACCCTGATTACAGAAGAAGCTCCACAATTTAGCGAATATGAGCCCCATTCTTTGTGATCGCTCAGTATCCCTCTGTTGCAGCAGCGGCTCCCTCGGTCCACACAGCACTTTCCAAAGCTACGCGGTTAGCAGCATTAGCTGGATGAGCTTTTGCCTACGAAACACCTCGCCGACCTATTCAACGCCGACTCCATGCGGAACAACTACATCCACAGTGAACTGGAGCTTTACGGGGACATCTGGCTTAGGATATATTGTTGTGGTTCTCGTGTAAGGTTAAAGTGCATCAACACAAAGAGGAAAGTGAGCGGTGCTGGCTTCTCTATAGCCCGTTAGGTGCTGGTGTTTCACTGAAAAAAGCTTCTCGAGCTAATTATCTTCCGGTTACGCGATGACGTATTACGGCTTTTTCAGAAGCTGTTCAAAATAAAGCAAAACTTGCTATTTCTTCCCAACAGTAATGAATAAAAGCGCATTTACTTCTACTAACCTCCAAAGCAAGTAGTAGATGCAATGAAATCCAGACATGTATCTGGAAAGCCAATATAAACTTTAATCACATGATTAGTGACGTATAGGGAAGCGTGACAACAATCACCAAACAATCGCCAAGAAGCTTTGGAATAGCGTGGGTCTCATTTTATCTCAGGATTGTTGTAGATTTACAAGGTATTTTTCATATGAAGTCTGTGTAGGTAAATCATTTCGAGAAAACTCAGACAGATCGCTGTCTGTTTGTCACAGTTTGCTTATGTTTTTTGGATTATCATAAAATGTCAGTTTTTCCAAGAATTTCGCTTAGACCTGAAGTCACTGACTACCTTAAGAACGTATTCTTAAATAAAGAGGTACATAGATTGCAAACTCTCACTCATTGTCAAAAGTCTCTTGCTATTACTATATATTAATTGTAATTCAAACTATTTATTCTGTCACAGTTGCTGACTGCCGTTGGGCACCAAGAAGCAGAGCAGCGTTTTGAGAGGCTGCTCACATGCCTTTCACACCCTCCTTCACACACATGTGTGCGGGCTAGTACACACCTGGCCCCCCTGGAGGAGATCAGACAAAAACTAGCACAAGAACTGAATAAGGTAATAGAAACATATGTTTGTAAGTGTTTGTAAGAAAAGGGTTAAAAGGTAAAATTGATCTTCTGAGTCTGTGGTTTCTTCAAAGCAGCATCTGTGTGGCTCATCAGCTGGGGTCTCTATGGAGATTGTTCCACACCCATGCATTCCAGATGTGCTGCTCCTTCCTGTGGATGGACCTAGGTATGCAAGGAATGCCAGGACAGATTTCAAACAGTCCACATGTAAACAGCATGTGTTACTTCTTGTGTTTGTAGACCTGTTGAGCCGCTTCAGTCCGAGGTGGTTGTGGGTGCGCAGTGCGGCAGTGCTGTTTTGAGAGGTGCTCATGTTTTTGCCCCTGGCATTGTTGCCAGCCCAAAGTGTAAGTATAGTCTACAGTTTAAAAATGGCATTAAAACATTGTCTAACTGGTATCTGTGTGTTTCAGTCATGAAAACCGGCGATATAGTGTCTGTGTTTTCTGATATTGATGGAAAGTGCACTAGAGGAGCCACAAGCTTCCAAGGGCACAAAGTGTTTGTGGGAAATGGTGTAGCTGAAATGGATCGCTCTGCAGTATTTTGTACAAATTGTCCAACTAAGTGAGTTTTTATTTTTTGACAATACTTTGTGATTATATATCTATTACTCACACTATTCCCTCTCAAAAAATGGAATATCATGAAAAAGTTCAATATTTTTTGTCTCTCATTTCAGAAAGTCAAACCCATATTACACAGACTTGTGACACATAAAATGAAATATTTCAAGAGTTTACTTCTTTTTATGATTATGGCTAATACATAATGAAAACCCAAAATTCAGTGCCCCGAAAATTAGAATATTACATAAAATAAATTTAAAAATATATATTTTTCAGCCTTAGTCTTAGGTCATATGTTCATTTCTATGTACTCACTACTTGGTTGGGCTTCCTTTGACATGAATTACTGCATCAGTGTGCCAAGGCATGGCTGTGGTACTGCTCAGGTGTAATAAAAGCACAGGCTGCTTTAATAGTGATCTTCAGGTCATCTGTATTGCTGGGTCTGGTGTCTATCCTCTTCCTCTTGAGGTCAGCATTAAGTGCTGTAATATGTCCTGGTAGATGACTATGTTGACTGTGGAATTCAGAAAACAGAGAGAACCAACTGCATTCGCCTGAGAAGAGGACTCTGGACCACGGATCAGCAGTCCAGTTCTTTTTCTCCACTGCCCACTCTTCTGTCATCATCTCATGTCCTATGTAGGCTTCACCTGTGCATAGTGACTGACAGTGATTGATGCACTGACTCCAGCCTCAGTCCACTCCTGGTGAAGCTCTCACAAATTCTTGAGTGAATTTTGCTTGACAATCTTCTCAAGATTGCGGTCATCCCTTTAGCTGTTGCACCTTTTCCTATTACACTTTTTCCTTCTACTCAAGTTTTTATGAATATACTTGGATACAGCACTTTGTGAACCACCATATTCTTTAGTAATGACATTTTGTGGCATACTCTCCTGGTGGAGGGTGTCAGTGACTGTCTTCTGGACATCTGTCCAGTCAGCAGCCTTCCCCACAATTGTGTAACCCACTGAGCCAGACTGAGAGCTCATTTAAAGGCTCAGGAAACTTTTGTACAGGGTTCCCATGGTCATGGAAATCCTGAAAAAGTCATGGAAATTGAAAATGTAATTTTCCAGTCCTGAAAAATCACGGAATTTTATTATCTCTTTCACACAACTACAGTGTTTTGTTAAGTTATCATTAGGCTATTATCTTTGTTTCCGAATGTGGGCATCTTTTGTTTAAAAGAGACGACAATAAATGCACTTACAGTATTTTAAATGTTAAAAAAACTATAATACCAAACCATAAGGTGAGTGGGAAGGGTTAACATTTCATATTTAGCCCTAAAAATATGCTAAATTCTCCACATGTAAGATGCCATAAAGTCATGGAAAATTCACTTTAGGTGATGAAAAAGTAATGGAAAAGTTTTGAAGTTTTGTCAGTGAAAAAGACTGGGAACCCTGTTTTGTATGTGTTTTCAGTTAGTAAGCTGATGTGACTCAATGACTTCCCAATATTCATCTTTTTCACACTATTCTAATTTTCTGAAACAGAGAATTTGGGGTTTTCTTTATCTGTAAGCCATAATAATCAAAATGTAAAGAAATATAGGCTTGAAAGCTTCACTCTGTATCATGAAACTATATAATGCATGGGTTTAACTTTCTGAAATGAGAGACAAAAAATATCAAACTTTTTCAAAATATTCAAGTGTTTTGAGATGGAATAGTATAACGGCACTCCTGGTTAATTTGTGAAAATATGCTCGATTTTATGTAATTATTATTACATGTTTTATTTATTATTTATCCAGAGGTGTAGCAGTTCATATGACAGAGCCACTTTATCAAAGTCCTTCATTTGATGGTGTTCTGCCCAGCCTTACATTCTTACAGGTGCAATATTAACTATATCCATGTTTATAATTAAGTACAATATAATCAGGTTGTATGTTTTTGTAATGAGCAGAATCTCCCATCTGTGGTGGTGGGACATGTTCTTGGGCCTTGTCCAGGTGAACGTGTTCTGGATATGTGTGCTGCCCCAGGAGGAAAGACCTGCCACATCGCCTCTCTCATGAAGGACCAGGTGCCATTTCTAGCAAATACCAAATGCTTTCACATTTACTGTTAGTTCAGCCGTGTGAATTAATAGCAGTCTTGTACCAATATGCATTATATACATACAATACAATATACATACAATGATACGTTCAGCACTAGATAACATATCTCCCCATCTCTCATATAGGGTGAGGTTGTGGCACTTGACAAAATCCGAAACAAGATTGATCGTATTCGTCAAAATGCCCAGATGCTGTGCCTGGATTCAATCAAAGTGTTTTGCTGTGATAGTGTGAAAGCAGTGAGCACTGACCTTGAAAAGCAGAGAGGAATTGAAGGTACAGTGGGAATAATGCTCATTTCTAGAATGAAAAAACTCTTTGGCATCCAGTCCAGTTATTGTGTGTGACTGGCCAATATTTTCAGTTATTTACTGTTTATACTTTTTTGACATCAGTTTCTCTGTGTGATTTAGTTTTAGATTTTAGCCATCTAGGTAGGTGTAATTAATGGCAATGTATTGTAATATTGTTCTTACCTGTGACAGGCCCTCCATTTCCTCCTGAGAGCTTTGACCGTGTTTTACTAGACGCTCCATGTAGTGGACTAGGACAAAGGCCCAGCATGGCCAGCACATGGAGCCTGAAGGAGATCTGCTCTTATCAGCCACTTCAACGCAAATTAATTCATGCTGTATGTTACACTATTTACAATGTTTACATTTAGTTTGCAGCAAGGCCAGCCAATACATCTCTTACCATAAATTTTTTTGTCACTAGGTGGCAGTGCAAACAAATTATTCCTTACTTCTTATCTATAATATGACTTCAGTTTAACATGTGGTTAAGACATCGTTCTCTTTCAGTTTTTGAGCACATACTTAATTAGTCTCCTTTTGCCCAGCTAAATGTCAAGCGTACTATACAATAATATTGGTGGAAGTGTTGGTAGTGGAGATAGTATCTTGGTGACAAATAATAGTTTTGTCATGTATTCAACGTCACAGATATGCTAATAATATAGTGGCAATGCTTACAGTATATTTTTCTGTATATTTGTGCAATGACAGGCAGTGAGCTTATTGAAGAAAGGTGGTGTGTTGGTGTACAGCACTTGCACTGTGACTCTTGCAGAGAATGAGGAGCAAGTAGCATGGGCACTCAAAACTTTCCCATGTCTTACTCTTGCACATCAGGTAAAAAAAAATCCAATCAGCTATAATTAGAAAGTGTAAACATTGGGCTGCAAAGATGTCTTACTGCTGTGCTTGTTTTCAGGATCCCCACATTGGCGCAGAGGGCATGCCTGGAGCTGGTCTGTCACCTGATCAACTGTGCCTTCTCCAGAGGTTCAGCCCTGAGCTGAGCTGGGAGCAAATGCAACTGAATGCTTCACTTCCCCACAGAGCCAATACAGACACTATAGGGTTTTTTATTGCCAAATTCCTGAAACACTGACCGGGCACTTAGGATGTGAACAGAGCATGATTGAGGATCTTGCACAAGACTAAGGTGTTTATATTAAAACAGCTTTGATGGTGGCGTTGACAAAGATGCTCTCAGTTGGGTTTACAGCATCTGTTTCTGGCAACTGCTCTGTGAGACCGCAGGCCATATAGGGATAAGCTTTATAAACAGTCAGGGCAGGAGAAAGAGGAGTTGACAGGGTGGGAGGGGCAGGCACGTGGGGACGCAGCACAGCACAGACTCACTGGCAAATGCAGCAAGGCCAGCGTCGCCATAACAACAATGACGACATGGTTGCCATGACGACGGAAGATTCAGTGGATATGTGAGATCAGGAAGTAGTGCGCTAGAGATATTAAACATTTAATGCCTTTTAGTGGGGGGGGCAACTGAGAAATTAGCAATTTGCCTGCTGCATCAGACATGTAAAATAACGGAATAAAATATATTAATATAATATATATTATATCTTTAACTTTGAGAATGTGAAAAAAATTGAATGGGGAATTACATATATGCATGCTGTTGTAGATACTGTTATAAAACTGCAATTTATATTGCAATTACAAAATGCACATTTTGGTTATAACAGTTTCAGTCTACTCTTTACTGAGAGTACCATTCATTTTTAATCCAGTTAACCCACAAATATGTGTAAATGTAGTCTTGGCAGCTGTGTCCCTCAGGTTTTGTCAATGGAGAGTTCCAGAATGAATCAGATGGCACTGGAAACATTCATGTTTACAGAAGTAGAGACGCTTCCTCTTTTAGACTCATCTCCTCAGTATTGTCATTCATGTCAATGTTGTCATGACAACCAAGAGGGAGGCTAGTGGATACCTTATATTTTCAGCTGAGTTTAAAAGTACTATTTATAGTCATGGTCTTTCTCAGGATGAGAGCTCTGACGAAACACATCAAACTATCTCTGCACCAGACTATTGCTGCCAACTTTATTTATATATGACATCTTATGTACATACCCATGTACATATACAATGTTCAAAATCTGTAATGCTACCTTTGTAGCATAGAAACGAGTCAGGTTTGAAGTGCAATTGTCAGATGAATACAATTAGTTTTGACCTGTAAACAGAAGGCCAGAGTGCAATTAAACCTGTTTGACCTATACCTTAAAAACTATTTGGAAAGCCAAACACTTAAGGATACAAACAATATAATTAATAATTTTCCCATTTTTATTAGTCAACCTTTGAAATGCATTACTGAGGGAGATCCCAAGAAACAAATATTGTTTAGTGAATAATTTGGGATTTAAAAAGTAAGGGACTTAAACAACATTTATTAGAAAAGGGATCAGACTTAATAAAAAGATTAACCTAAATTCGGATTTGGTAGTGGACCAGCAGTATGTGCAGTAACAATTGAGGTTGTATCGAATTACAACATTACACTTTGAGTAGTATAAGTGCAGAATCAATCATGTATCAGATTCAATAAAGATAAAAAGATACAGCACTTCATGTAAAAGGACATTATTGTTAAGCACCTCAAAGGAGGCAGAAGTATGTCTTTTTATGCCCAGTATAATTAAAAAATAACTAAGATATAGTAAATCAAACTATCCCCAGTAGTAGTCTGAAGAAACACATGATTCAAGTGATAGCAAGCAAAACAAACTTTAGGTAATCACAAAAAGCACAGCTTCAGAAAAATATCTGCCTTTGTGTCATGCCTTGACCAACACAGGTTTAAGATGCATATTTGAGAAAGTCATGCATATCCACACATAAACATTGTCTATGCATAGATACACATACATATATTTATATTTGTATCTATGTTACCAAAACTCCTGTTGATGAAAAACAGCATTTACAAAGGTGTACATAAATAGGATGTTGTGGTTTGGGGTGTAGCAGCACAATTGGACGACAAGATGGTCTCTCTAAGGAGCCCACCTTTAGTGTATTTGTGATTTAGGGTTTTTGTCTGTTTGGGTGGATGTATGTGTCTCTGGCCCATTCCCCTGTGTCACCCCTCTTTTTGGGAGCCACCTCCCCTTCTCGGTCCCTGTCTCTGTCCCGGTCGTAGTAGTGGTGGTGGTGGTCCCGGGCAGGCCGGTGGTGATGGTGTGAGCGCTGTTTGTTGCGTTCATTATGGTCCTGCTCGCGCTCTTTGGACCTGTGGTGTCCAGTGCCATGTCCTGTACCATGTCCTGTACTGTGTCCTGTAACGTGGCCTGCCTCGTCCCCTCTGTGATGGTGGTGATGATGGTGATGATTGTGGTCCCGATGAGGCACTGGCTCATAGCGCTGTTGCTGCTGGGGGTGCCCCTCCCCTAAATCCTCCTCCTCCTCTTCCTCCTCCTCTTCCTCCTCCTCATCCTGGTGGAGGAGCTGTGTCCGCTGCTCCATGTAAGCTGATTCTTTGCTCTCCCTGCTCTCGGGCGTCTCTGAGTCCAGTGTCTCCTGCCGGGACAGGCCCCTGGCACGGCTGCTATGATGGTGGTGGTGATGGTGGTGATTGTGGTGCTCAGTCCTGGTGGAAGACGACCTGTGGTGAACGTGCTGAGGTCTGCGTGATGAAGGCTCAGTGCGCTCCTCCTCGGCCTCCTCCTCCAGCTCCTCCTCGGCCTCGTTGGTGGGCGGATCCTGGCTCTGATGGTGATGGTGATGATGATGATGATGGTGCTGGTGGTGGTCTTCTTTGGAGCTCTTTCTCTCTACCAGAGCTTTGTCACTCCTCTGTTCAGTGACACCACCCTGTGGTCCATGAAAGATTAGTTAATATAATGAAGAGTAAATACACAGCAAACACAGCCTCACAGCACACAGCACAAAGTGAAAAAGAGTATGGACAAACCAGATTTACCCTATATAGAAAATTGGCTCATGAGTAAATTGGGAAATATGGGAAAATAGAAAAGGCAAATTTCAACTTGAGCTTTAAAAAGCAGGAAGGACAGTATCAGTTCAAGCTCACTTGCACATCAAATAACATGCTATCTAATACATTATTACTGTTCCATTAGGTGTACCACCAGACTGCACTTCAGCCTTTAGATTTCATGCCACACACTCACCAGATAAACAACTATTACATTTTAAGCTCAATCCTCCTCTTCTGACAGCTCAGCATTAGCTTCATTTTCAGCCTTACAAATCCATTTGTGTTGGCATTGAATGGAGAAATTAAAATATAGCAGGACAACAAATATAAGCTGTGAATGGAGTATGCTAGATGTATCTTGCTGCTATTTTCAACCTACATCATTCCACTACTGCATTTGTAACTCTCTCATTGAATGTCTGAAATTGTTCACACATACATTTTGATCATGAGTAAGTTTGAACATGCTGTATATTTTTATCTTAACTTGTTAACTACTGTCTATTTCATTTGAAGGTTCATCTTGTACCTGCAGTGCAGGGAGAGGGGCTGTGCTGGAGGGCAGGGGATCCGTGGGCAGCTCGGTCAGGAGTGGGTCAGGCGGGCTACAGCTGCTGGGGTGAGTGCTTTTCCAGTAGGCCTCCAGGTAATCAGCCATGTGCTCACAAGCATCCTCCAGCTGGTTTTCATCCAGAATGATGTCAAACATTTCCTGAGATAGAGAAACGGCCAGTCAGAGAATACAAAAAAGGAATGGGGTCAGGACAACAGCACTGCACTAGTTATGAAGCATCTCATACAAAATTTAAGCTCAGACAACAGAGCACAGTTAAATGCAGCATTTACAACTCTAACCCTAAGAGTTCTGCAGAGTTTTTCTTTGCCCCATTACTCACAGTCACTCAACCATCAAGTAAACAAAAACATATGAAGTTCCATATTTTTTATTAGATTGCAATTTCTGAAATTCTCTCCAAGCAGGTGATGTGATTTGAAATGAAATGTTTAACCTGAACACCCTCACACACTGCTTTTTCACATAAGCCTCCAGCCGTAGAGTACTTTCTTCATTCTGGCCTTTTGAAAAATATCACAAAGCAGATTACAGAAATAGAAGTGAAATTGAACTGGCAGTACTGATAAAGCCTCTAAAAATGTGACTTATCAGATATGCACTAAGCTCATGGCTCCAGGGGGCAGAACTGGGTTGAAGTCAGCCATTATTTGGGTTCAGCACAGGAACTCACAGGAGGGCACTGCGCCAGCTTGTCAGCTGCCACCATCTGCACATTTAGGTGTTTGGCCTGGGACTTGCCTCTGGATTTGATGAGACGCTGCAGCACCTAAGCATACATGACAGACATGACAGACCATACAAGGGGCATCAAGGGTTCATATTTACATTATATTATCAAAACACAGGCTTACAAATTGTGCATGTTCAGGTAGAAAAAACACGTGGGATAATATAATTAATTCTAATATTAAGAACTATTTAGATGTGGGTGAGTATGTAAAGAGAGAAATTGTAACAGCCCCCCAAACCAAAAACGCTATGAAACATGTATCCATAATTAGAGTTACTGCAACAACCTTCACACCGCTTTGAATGTTTACCTTGGGAGAGGTGATCTTTACATAGACTATAATGGGTGCAAGTGAGGTCTTCCCCAGTTGTGATGGATGGTTGATGGTATCAGCGTCAAGAACTACTAACTGTAACGTCCGTGCCAGCTCAAAAATACGCTCAATCTCACTCTGGACTTCAGCTGGGGGGAAAGGACAGGGTCAATTAATATATCATCAAAATATCTTAGACAAGTCTAGTCTTTATTAATATAGATTTTGTTAGTTTTGAGGTTAGAATTTGGACAGTAATTTGTTAGGTGATTACACAGCCTTCTTAATATACCCCAAATCTGTCCAAGTTAGGGTGCAGTGTCCTCTGTGGTTTAGTATTTGTTCAACAATTGTAGGTTGTCTTCATATGAAAGCTGATTTTGTGCATGTACCCTATTCCAAACCAGTGCTGCTAAGGGCTATGTGGACTTATCGTTAGTAATGTCAAAAGTTTCTTTAAACGTTTCCTTCCAATTCCACATGACCAAGGTCTCCTTGAAAACATTACCAAATCAAAACACCAGATGTTTCCAGGCATCACAGTAATTCTAGACAAACATACCCAAGTTGGAGCGCGTGTTGGAGCGTTCGATGATGGCGTGCTTGCTGGGGTTGTTGAGAACTGAGCGTTTGGCAAGAGAAATGTCTGCAGTGACACGAGTTATTGATATTCTGCCACAAGAGACAAGAGCAAATAGCATGTTAACAGAAACATATGCTCCATTTGGAATACCCAGTACACAACAATCCCCATATTTTATTAAAAAACACAAAGAACAAATTGTTATTAGCAGTTATTAGTATCTTAACTTTGGGCTGATCATCTGACTGACTGCTTATAGCACCAAAAAGCTGTAGCTGTTATGAGTGGGCAAGAGGAAAGTGCCCATGTAGATAAGGAAAACAGTCCTTATGTTTCATATTCATTTAACATGCATTGTCCTTCTGTTGAAGTTTTGAGCAGTGCTGTAGCTATAAGCACATTCTTGCTGTTGTGTAACTTTATGTCTCTTCTGTTCTGGCCAGTCAGACAGCAGGACGACAAAGTAAAGGACTCGACATTGTGAAGGAGAATCTGCTCTGCTCTAGAGCCCATTATGGCCTATTAAGGACATGTAGAGGGCCTATTTAAAGCAGCACACATCTCTGGGCCAAACAAACTTGTTACACACTCTGGGCTAACCTCTAGGGACACATAAATACCAGCCTATAGAGCTGGAAGAAGACAAGGAATGAGGAAGGAAGCATGGGTTTACAAAGTCACTCTGAACTCACCTTCCCTCAAATCTGTGTTTTAAAAAGTCAAAGAGAGCTTTTTGCATCATGTCTGTCACCTGAAAAAGCATACAGCCATTATGAACCATATAAAAATTGAAAGGTAGAATTTGAGAAAAGCTGTCTGGTACCTCATAGCCCTTCAGTGACGGTCCAACCAGAACCACGGGCCGCATGGAAGGCACAACATCGTACGGAGGAATGTGTTCCGTCTTCAGTTAAGAGAAGAGAAAAAACACTGGCTCACATTTATGGAGACGAAGTGCACAGCCACCATCACAAATCACCAGAGGGTTAGAGCAACAGCGAGACACAGACGAGACGCTTAGGAAAACACGCTGAACCATGGCATGTTGGTCTAGGCCCGTCCACAAACAGCAGACCGACATTTGATTTAGGACAGATTTTGATACTTTCTTGTATTGTCAACATTGTGCCGTTGAAATTAGGTTACACTATACTATGAAAGTGCTTCAGTGTTAACAGAATAAAGAGTGCCATGTCATGGTTCAGAAGTTACAATGGCAAAGTGTTAGTTCAACTGCCTGAGTACATTATATGTACCATCATTTTTATCTAGGATACAGTGAGACATCAATTTAAAAGGTAACTTTTAATTCTTCTATAAACATGGATAGATTGTACTTCACAGTTCACCACTTCTCTCCAGTTTATTTGTTTTTTTGTCTCATGTTTGCTGCCGTCATCAGGCCGCCTCTAGGGAGGTTGTGGGAACTGATGCACACACTGCCTAGCACGAAAGCATAGACAGTTGTTCAGTACTACTGATCATAGCATGGTTTAGCATTCATTAATCATGTTACAAACTCACTGGCGGACAAACTCATTGTTAACAAGATTACGGTAAGTCTTTTAGAATATTTAGTTTTTATGAGTGAATACACAATTGCAAATTTTAATAATGTAGTATTTCATTAAATGATTATGTAATTATATAGTACTTTTAATTTAAGGTATGAGGCCTAGGAGACTATATTTTAGATAATTACAAAATACATTAAACATCAAAGTTTCATGGATTCATATGGGCTTCTATTACTTGCCATAAGAACAGTTTTTAAACTTTTGAGTATCTGTTTATTATTTTGTATAAACTGATGTCACACTGTCACAGGTACACAGGTTCAACACAAACACAGCACAGTTTGTGGGGCCATTAGAAAGGTGAGAGGTCAGAGGTCAGGATAGGGTCAGGAGCCTGTGCTGAGTATGCAGTGTTCTCGACGACTTACCGACTTTTGCTTCTGCTTAGCTGTGGTGGAGAGGAGAGAGAGAGAGGTTAAGAACAGGCATGCATGCTCAGGGCTGTGGATGGTGTTATGGACAGGACAGAGAGGGCAAACTGAGAGCAGCCATGGGCGTTCAGTGAGAGCCGAGCGGACGGCACACGGGCACAGTGTGCACTCCCGTTTACCTTCTTAAAGAAAGGCATTCGTTTCTCTTTTGCTAGGGGTGTGACAGTGTTTGGACTGGCTTTAGGGGAGCGCAGGTTGGTCGGGACTTCATTGTCCTCTGGGTCTAAGCCTGTGGCATCTATGTCAATGGCTACGCACACAGACACACAAGAACTTTGTCACACTGAGCTGAAAAATGATATGTGTAGACACCATTTTTATTGACAAACATAGGGCAATAATATAATGCACAGGTTTCATCTTACCTGGACATATAGAGCATAATCTAAAACATCTTTCAAATACGTACCAGAGGACGGAGGAGTAGATTTCCTTGAGTTTGGAACCACTTCACCTAAACTAGAGGAGGAATTTGCTCCCAATTTACTGAAACGGAAATAAACACAAAAGAGAGAGAGGGAGAGAGTCTAAGAATGATGAAAACTTTGACTGCAAAGTGGTAGTAGTAATCAGAGAAGAGGCATCTTTGCGTGTACCTGAACTTGCCCTGCTTAGCTCGCTGCTCCTGGAGGATACGGGTGTTTTCAAGCTTCACTGGACTGGGGATGAAACCGATTTCACAGCCTTCTTTCACCAGGCGTCCAATCCACCAGTCGTTGTTGAATTTCTACACATAAATAATGAGAGTTAATGGACACATGTAATGATTTTGAATGTCACAAAGATAGATTGTACCTCTTTAACATGCAGGAAGTCTTTAGCATCAAAGGAGACGGCCATGCCTGGTACAGGGACATCATCATCCAGACTGGCGCTGTAGCTGACATTTGTGCGAACAGCGAATGCAACTGGTTTGGTCTGAAAAAGTTCCAGTAAGATAATCATTTATGACAGAACAATGTTGGATGTGTTTCCAATTGCAGTCTAGTATTGCCATTCTGATTAAATTTGCTGTAGATACTTTCTTGGGTGAAAACTACATTTCTCTTTTTAGTTAAATTACTATCTTACTTCCTGCAGTATTAAAGCAAAACTGTATAGCACTACTGTCAGAGCTGATCAGTAACTAATTCATTTTACATAAGTACTATACAGATTTTGAGGATCTGTACTATACTAAGAGTCATATTTAATAAAAAAAAAAAAATAAGTGGTAGTAGTACTGGAGTACTAGTACATTTGTGGCATGTGGAGTTTTTTATGTCTTTTGTCCCATTTAAAGTCTCATGATGCCCCCTCCAGAAAGTTGATTTGTGCAGATGTACAAGTTGTGGGCACAATGCCATTCATTAGCCACTTGGTTGTGACTTGGCTGTAATCTATTTTAGGGGTCATTAACAATATATACAGGTCTGGCAACCTTTTAGGAGATAGTAAATATACAAATTATAGGGCAATTGAATTCCTGTTTTGCAATTACACCGTTCTAGTCAAATGTCTTTCTATTCTCTGCAGTTCAATTTTTTGTTACAATTCACAACATTTATTTATATATATATATATATATATATATATATATATATATATATATATATATATATATATATATATATATATATATATATATAGTAAAACGTACTTTCAATACTTAAGTAAATTCTAAAGCAAATGCTTCAGTACTTTAAATTAAGTAATCATATGACTGTGCTGCTTTTGGAGTATTGGAGTAATATTTGACCAGGAGTATCTTTTGTTTAACTCAAGTAATGAAATGCAGTACTTTGACCACCTTTGACACCGTGACGGGTTGATAAATCAGTGGCTCAATGATTCACTAACATTCCTCTTAAAGGCCTATTGAGGGAGTAAAGTGTTTTGTGTGCTATTTCTGCCATACGCACTTCTCATGTGTCTGTGCTGAGGGTTTCTACTTGAATTAGACCAGTTTTGTTTTTGTATTGGTACAAATATATTTTAGGTGAATCTCTGTCAGCCACAGTGATGCAATTTGTTTGGTTCAAAAATACACCACAGCAGATTTCTAACAGACAGATCAATTGTAATGTCATAAAAGAACCATGCTTAAAAAGTCAAATCTAGATATCTGGACAGGTTTTGCAAGCCTAGATTTAGCCATGCAAAACACACATGCCTTGAGAATTACATAAAATGCTTTGGGACATAATCATGGAGTCAGCCTGGCAGTACTGGCAGCAACAGTTGGACATGCCCACAACCAGATTACATTCAGTGGGCCTTAGAGAGTGTGTGCAAGCTGACAGGGGGTGAGTGCCAGCCAAAACCAATGCACAGGAACGTGGCTTAGACTAATCTCCCAACATAGATTTGTATGCTCAATATTTACCTGCACATGAAAGAGGCCCATGGGAGGGAGACCTTTAGCCACAGGTGCAATATTTTAGTGCAGAGTTAAACAGACATCTAGATCTGAGCTTTCATGTACTAGCACACACAAAGACAAGAGATTTCGACTGTTCAGATTAGCAGTTAGTAGCAGTTAGCTGTAGCAACCACATGCTATAAGACTAAACAAGTGTTACAGACATTTAGCACAAAATCTTATATGGATGAGGGGTGCACACTTGTCCCTGTATAGAAATATCAAGCACTGTACGGAATGTCCCAGCCATCCCAATTCAGTAGTCCATACTAATCCAAGTAAGATTTTTTTCCATGTTCCACTGCAAGAGTGGGGCCATTTTATCTTTAATATAATAAAATAGGACTACAACTAGCTACAGTGAGAAATTCCTTTCTGTGTAACCCCAGCATTATTACAGATATTTTTTGACCTACCAATAGGTGGTGATTGGATTTATTTGGATCGATCTGAGGCAGGTTTCAAAAGTGGGCTCTGGGGCCGAGGGAAAATGTGCACTTACGCAGTCATGAATCAGAGCTTTCCAGGAGCGCCCTACAAGGGACAAGAGTCTGCCTTTCACAGCCTTCACTGTCCAGTGCACTGAGTTACAACAGGTGAGATAAACTAGCTGGGATTATGGCTGTAATTCAGGAGTGAAAGCCCTCCTCTGCTGTATAAATATTCACTGGTGTAAGCTGCTGGTTGGTGACATCTTTGAAGACAGAGGCGCAGAGGCTGCAGAGGACGGGCCGACCTTGTGCAGTCACATGGTGCAGGAAGTACTAGAGGAACCCATTAAAGCCTGCATGTAGTAAATGTATTCTCATGCATCTCCTGGGCTTCTCCTCCCAGCTGCTCCACGCGGGTGGCCTGTCACATTACATGGCTTAATTGCATTTTTCAGTCAATCCCACACAGCACTGGTCAAAGTTTACATAGAGCAAGATGAATATGTAAAAACGCCTTGGTTCTATGTTGATTTATAACAGGGGCTTCATTATAGATGCCATGTGCTGCGCTGACAGGGGGAAAGACATTGGAAGGTTATGGAGGAAGTTTCATGAGGAAGTAAAATATAGAAGTGCAAAAAAAAGAAGAAAAAGGAAGACAAATTGTACAATCCAGAGATGCTATATCTGTTACTGAGACACAGAGCAATGGACCACAGTCAATTAACAAGGCATGGTAACATCACAGCGCTGTATGAATATTTTATTGGTTAATACCTCGATGTCCTCTTTGCATGCTCAGACTTATGTGCTGGCCTTGTGGCTGTTGATTTGCCACCTTACATGCCTCTGCTTCCCCATTAGCAACTCTAGTTGCCTCTCTGCAGCTATAAATCTGCAATCCACACTGTTTCTACTGAATGTTGGGGATCGATCGGAAATGAATCCTACGCAGCTCTGTGTGCAAAACGCTGCACAGGAAAGCACGTCAAATTCAATTAATATGGTGAGAAGACAGCGTTACCTTCATTAATATATTATGAGATAATTCTTAATGGTTGTGTTGGAACCTAATGATAAATTAGAAGTAGGTCTGTTACGATAATTACTATATTATCATTCAATACATGACAGATGGAATAATTATTTTTAGAATATTTATCATGGACCATTTTTCTTTTACTAGTGTAATTTTCCTGTACAACAAAAGAGTTTGAGCCAAAGATGGCTGAATAAATAAGTTCTAGCTGTCAATGAGTGTTGCATTTAGACTTTATGGCATGTTCATTAAAGAGGGGTTATTTTACTTCTCCCTTTGCTCTCCACATTACACCACTCTTCCTTCAGAGCTCTATCACAACACAAGCAGAATATATCCCACAAATACTACTACTGCACATTGCATCAGGTTTGTCAAGTTGTTGTGAACAGTTTTATATCATGTTTTTGTATATTTATGGAAAACTGTCTTGTGGTAGCATGGTTGATATAGACTCATGGGCTGAGCAATGGACAAAATTTTACAGCTAACCGCAAGGAGGGTTACAATCATAGACTGAATAGGGCCTGGGAAAGATTGCTAAATTACTGAAACATGCATGGATGACATTTAAAACCTCCACAGGCATATTTTTGATGAGGGAACAAAATTATAATATGGTTATAACATGTATTTTGTAAAATACCTCCTCTTGTACATATAGAATGTAGTTTTTAGAAGGATACTTTAAAATGATCTCATCAGTGATATAATGGCATTCAATATGATTGTTTATTGTATTTTTCTTCCACAATATATAATACTTCAAAATTTGCTATCGTGACAGGCCTAATTAAAGGCTGCAGTAGTGTCACAACTATATGTGAAATTTTTATAGTACATCTAATGAAGTGTATCATATGTCATGTGGCTGTTGAGATGAAGAGGAATTCGAGCTGTAGATTGTGTGTGTGTTAGTCTGTGTTGTCTGCGGTGAGGGGCTGAGGTGACAGACTGAAACGTGAGAGCCAGTGTTTCAGAGAAAGCCCCCAGTGCATCAATTACAGCTAAGCCACTTCATTACCTCAACCAGCGGTCACAGCCCATGTTTATTTATCATATTAGTCTGACCGATACCACATGAAAACTGAGGAATTTATATCACTTATTAATATCAGATTACACACTTTGTTGGTTTTAGTATGGTATTATCCAGATCGAGATTTTGTCATAGCAAGAACACTGCTGAATAGAGGGATTATCAGACAATGTCACTTCGTGCTCTAAGAGCCGCGGTCCTGTGTGGTAATATGTTAGTGTCTTGTAGGATTTCAGCAGATTTCAGGCTCTCTCAGGGACGGGTCCTGTTATGTCGATCAGATATGAGTGAATGTCCGGCTACTGAAGTTCGATACATTTCTTCTTGGCTTTTACACACTCATCTCCATTTAACACTTATGGGTTATTAAGACATATCCCACTCACTAATGTTAGTTCAGCATCATAACTTATTTTATCACACGGTGATAAACTGTCAAAACACTGACAACATCGCTAGCTAACAATGCAACTTCATGTTAACTACACAGACAGCAGTGCTTTCTGCACTCAGGCTGTGAGTGCATCCGCTGTGTTGTCAAACATATAATCTGTCTATACCATAGCCCATCACCAGTGGGCTATGTGTTATGGGTGAATCAGGGGGAATGCAAATTTGAGATAGTGTTGTAAATAGACACTGAAGGGACAGAACATATTGGGGCATGTAGGAAACAAATGTGAGTGACACGCTGTTGCTAAGTCTAACAGTGCTCATGAAGGTTAATGGTGGAGTGCAATTCCATACTCCAGGTCCATGGAGCAGAGGTCTGCTAACACTGAAGTTGCCAACTTGCCATGACTAGAAATATGACAATTTATGACCAGATCAAATCATAAATAAAAAAAAGGGGGAATACACATAAAAGTGTAAAAAGCAAATGTGATTATTAACACAAAACAACAGTAAAAACAACTATATTTTGTCTTATATTCTGATATAGACCCAGACCATTCCAAATCTATTCATGAAAGGTTCAATTTAGTCCAAAGTGATTTTTATTTTTCAGTAGCAATGTCCACTAAAATTAGTATCAAGTTTCAATTGTTGTTTAAGATAGAACATTGTTTAGCTGTATTGTTAGCTGATTGTAGAATGTTGTTTAACTGTAAATTAGCACAGCAGCGTTTACACATGAGGACATAAATGTGGATTGTGATTGGAGTGATTTGGTGGGAAAGTGCTCCCATTGCTATTCCTGATATGTGCAGTGCCTGTGTGTGTGTGTGTGTGTTGTTTGTTTACGTGATGCTAATTGTGGCCCAAAGCAGAGCAGCACAGGCGAGGCTTAGCTCCGTTAAACAAAGAGAAGCCCCCTGTGGCCCCTAACATCTCCCAACAAACATTAAACATGCTAGCCTGATCCATGCTGATCCATCTTCTCTCTCTCTCTCTCTCTCTCTCTCTCTCTCTCTCTCTCTCTCTCTCTCTATCAATATATATATATATATATATATATATATATATATATATATATATATATATATAATAGGAAAATGAATAAGGAGAGTCATATTCCACTATGTATATATACCAGATTAAAATATATATCTGGACTTAAATTAAAAAATATAAATATCTTTGTATAATTAATATTTTGCACCTCACACTGGCAAATAGTTTTATTATTCCACGATTCTCTGGTGCGCTTGGGGAGCCCTAAAGACTTACTTTGATACAGTCTAACAGAATAACAGAATTGTGTAACTTGAGAAAAAAAAGAATGGAGAAAATAGAAATATTATTGTCAGTCCCTTGATGCAATAATGTGTAATTCTATCCTGTTTCGCCCTTAAAGCCTGACCACATGAATTGTTCATTTGACAGCCAGTTGCATTTGGAAGCATCCTGGGTTCAATGGGATCCAACAGGTACAGGGTAAAGGGTACAGGGCTCAGGGTACAGGGCTCAGGGTAAAGGGCACAGGGTACAGACCTTGGCCTTGTCGAGCTGTGCCTGGGCCTGGCGCTCTGCCTCTCTGCGCACTGCCTCCTTATCCTCTTCCAGGGACACATCCGAGTCGGACGGGCGGCTGGTGTATGAGTCGGCCGAACCCTGAAACAAAGTCACAACCACAGGGACTATTATAACTTGTTATCTATTGAATGCAAGTGAAGCGAGTTTGAATTAGTCATTAGTCTTATTCTTTGAGCTGTGTGGGGTGCTTGCCGTGGCTTGTGCTCGACTTTATCTGATGTGGTTGAGTTTCAAAATAGGCAGTGTTATTTTCACTAGAAACATACAATAAAAGGCAAAATAATGATGACACTGCAAAACACAAAACAAAATCATTACAATATCAAGTTGCTGCAGCAAAAATGGTAGTTAGACTTGTTTGATTCAGTAATAGTTGCCAAAAGGATTAAGGATTAATGGGCCAATACAAACTTTTGAGTAGGAAATTGGTTCCAAGAAGTGGTACATTTTAGTACTCCTGAAGATCAATAATTCCATCCACAAGGCCATGATGAAACACCACTTGTTAGCGTGCTATTGTTTTAATGCAACACAATTCAGATCTGTTTCTCAAATGGCCCAGTGGTCTTGACATTAAGACTTTGCCATTCAAATTCTGCTAACCCTAACAACAGAACTTGAAATCACACTGTGGAGCACCCAAATCCAAAAACTGACCTAAATTATCAATATACATTAATTCAATCAATCAATCAAACTTTATTCACAGAGCGCTTTTCATACAAAAAATGCAACACAAAGCACTTAATTATTAATTTATTTTAGTGGAAGTCTGATGCTAATTTTAAAATAGCTGTTTATAGTCATTTGTCTAATGCCAACAACATAAAACAATTAGTATTTGCAGACCATCTTGTTATCTCTAGTCATGTTTCGTATTGTACAGTCTGAGTGGAAGTGAACATTTCCTCTGTGAGGAAATGCGCCAAAGAACATAAAGTGTCCTTCATAAAATACCATCATCTCCTTGTCTCTGTGAGCCTGCACATTTGTTTTGATCTTTTTATGACAAATGCAGGAGGGAACACTCAAGAACACCAAGTCCAAGTATGTATGCTTATAAATGGCAACACATAAAGGAAAGAACCTCCTGTGTGCTCTTATCATGCATTCTGCCATATAAAGATGCCTCATAAATAATTGCAAAGCACAGAGTAAAGCTTGTGGATGCAGTGCTTTTTAAATATACATGATGACAATGTTACATCAGAGCAGCACCCACAGCCTTTGTCAAACCAGGAGTTAATTGCAAGCCCCATGCTGCCTATTCTTACCTGCACGATAGTACACCACCCACACCAGCTCTTTCATTCATCCCACTGCACCATAACACTGGCGTCTGAGTTAAAAATAGCCTCCTTCACCCGCTCCTGATTAGAATTACCAAAGCGTCACATACAAAGACGAATCGTACCTCTGCTTCCTCTTCACTTACCCCGCCTGACTGATGACTCAAATGTCCCCCATATAGTAATGTTGCACAACACAAGGTTATTCATGTTTATGTCAATACAAACATGCAGCATATCAATCATCATGCACTGCTCTGTCCCTCTCCCTGCACTATACCCTGCTTGAATAACTCAATAACTCCATAGAGCGCTGGCATGCAGTTTGTAAACTGGACAGCGCTGTGTTTGCTATTCTATTCAAGCAACATTGCTACATACATGCGATTATATGGAATAAAGCAATGAGGTAGAAAAAAGCAGAATGTATGACAGAAGGTTTGTAAATAGAAAAGTATGAAGACAACAATGATTCTATCTCTGAAGCAGTGACATGAGGAAGAGCACAGCCCCGGTGGGTCAGGAGGAGGTGATGTGGAGCTCTGCCCAGAATCTGACAGCTCACTGATAACAACCGCCCATGTGTGGTAATAACTGTCCAATAACCAGCCTGACCCCACCTGCAGCCTGATGGATACCCCTGCATACACACACATACCAAAGGACACACTCTAACTTTCACCCAGCACAGAGCTGCTTACACAGGCATCGGAGTTCTTGACACGACCCCCCTTGGCTCGTTTCAGCAGGCGGATCCAGGTGGCCTTCATCAGCCACACTGGTCATTCACCTGAGGACACTATGGGCGCCCTCACTCCGGCTCCAGGCTCCTCTCCAGCTACAGGTACATTCAACAGAGCTGCTACATCCACAGCCTCTGCGCAGTGTCACTGCTCCCACCCTGACAATGCGTTCATGTCGGGAGGAATGGGCACCGGCGGAGTTCAAGCTCCTTGTATTGCTGCAGTTACTGCTAGCTCTTCTGCTACTGCTCCTGATCCTCCTGCTGTTGCTACTGCAAAAGATGGGGACTCCACAGGAGCTCTCTGCCCCGCGCATAATCTCAGCAGCACTCTGCTCGTCCGCTCAGTCTCCTTGGTGCTCTGTCCGCTGCAGGTGCTCTGGTGTAAGAGCAGTCAGGAGGTAGCACACTCCCTCATTTCTCTCTCTCTCCTCAGCAGGGATGTGCTCCGACAGTTGTACTACTCCAGTCCGATGAGCGTGTGTTCCTGCCTCAGTCAGTGCTATGTCCCTGTGCTTCTTCTCCTCTGCCTCTCTCTCTCTCACCCCTCCTCCTCTGTCACTCCCTCACCGTCTCGATGGTACCCCTCACACTCTCCCTCTACTTATTGCGCCTTTGCAGTGATCACTACTGGACAGTGCCAGATCTCTCCATGATTTGATACATGCATTAAAAAGGCATGCACCAAAACAAGAGGTGATTGTGAGGCAAAGTGGACCCTGTGCTGAGTCTCAATAAATATAAACAAGCCCATGTGACACCGTGTAGTCCAATAAAACACATGAACGCTCATTGTAGAACAGTTGTTCTGTAAAAGGGGGAGCAAGCAGGTACATTTATTTTGGGTAATTTGCTTTGATCATAAAAATATGTCAGTTATGTTACAGTCCAACAGTCTATATGTGATGCTGCAACATCCTTAACAGTGCTGATTTATTGCACAGTGCTTTGCTGACGCATGAGGCTCCTCCATGTAGCCCATGGAGCGCTTGTGGTTGGTCAGAGGGCAGTAAGGAGGCTGCAGTCGCTCCCAGAGGACCACTAACTGTAGATCAAGAAATGACATGGTTAATCAGCGCTGGTTATCAAATCCAATCAATGACACGCCCCCATCTGCTCAGAGCCTCTTTACAAGAAGCGTGCAACTAAAAAGGACACATCTTACATGAAAGGAAGAAGGCCTGAGATATAATGTGATTTCAGCTCATTAAAATCAATTAGCCTAATGAGCATGGTGATTACCTGAACTTCATTCTGTTCCATGTACAGACAGACAATGGAAAATTAGATTGTTCTGTTGCTGATATTAGACAGAGGATGTTATAATCTTAGGTTATCGTCAAATTCTCCAACAGTGAGACACAAACTGAAAATCAGTTCATTATTTCTACAGATATTGAAGAACAGAGCCAAAATCAATACCTCTAATAAAAGACTGAGATGAGATTACAGTATCAATTTGACTTAACTAAATTGGTGCTTTGTGGGTACTGCTGTGGGAAAAATACACTGTAGTGAGTAAACATGAATAATACCACAGCTGTAAATTTGAGAATTATAATAACCACAAATGAATAAGTTAAAATGTCATATCATTGCCAGAAATAACTTATTTAGTAAATGAAAGATATGTGCAGTTTTCTGTGCATTGTTTTCTGAACATTTTCATTTGAGTCAGTCGATTTTGTGTGGCAAATATTCATTTATCTTGATGGTAGTATCTTCAGATCGCAAAATTTCTTACTTCTTCTTCCTTACAATTTATCCTGTGTATATAATTAAATGTATTTAAAAAACAAGCCATATTTCATGGTATTGTCAGTGCAGTCTTATTTTTGGAGCCAATACCAAGTTACCTGTTTTAGCCTGACATGTATGGGGCACATATGGCTGTACGGCGCAGCGTGACGTGGCCCGCGGTGCTTTTGGGGCAGGACACAGATGCTCTGAACAGGGACCCCAGTGAAACCCAATGGAGCTCATGGAGCTGTGAGGTGAAGCAGCACTGACACAGACACAGGGAGACAGACCAGGCCCCAGGGCCCCTGCCCACTACCACCCTCTGTCATAGCACTCACCACTAGACAATAGAGACATAACACTTACTGTGTGGTGGGCGCATGTGTAATAAGACTTTGAAATTTTTGTCTTTAAAGAGGTTGTAATGCAAAGTAATTTTTTGATCAATTTGAGCTTTCTACCATTTTATAATATTGTTTCCTTATTAAAAACATGCCTGAAGAGGTTTTAGATGTCATCCATGCATGTTTGAGTATTTTAGCAATCTCTCCTGGGCCCTAGTCAAACCCTCCTTATGGTTAGCTGTAAGATTCTGTGCAATGCTCAGCCCACAAGCCTACGTCATCCATGCTCCCACACGACAATTCTCCATAAATATACAAAAACATGATACAAAACTGTACACAACAACTTGACAAACCTGAGTTTAAAAACTCTTGTGCCAGTCACTCTACCACAAGAGCAGCCAGTCACAATCATGGTTAAGTAAAATATCATGATTTTACATTTTCTTTATTGTAAACAGCAATACTGTTCTAAAATTACTTAAAGACAATTAACAGACTGCAAAAATAATGCCACACTTCCTTACTGTGTCATTTCACTGTCATGAGATGCATGTTTTCATTCACATATATTTATTTATTGGAAAATGTCTATGTAATATTTAACCTTATGAGTATGACCTCGGGTCCGAGTGGGTTGGGAAAACCCCTTTTTTTATTTTTCTGAACAAACACTTGAGCCTCAAAAGCAGGATAATACAAGGTTACTTAAACATGCCTTGATCAATCAAAATACAACTCTGAGTTACCTAAAGATGAGACAAAACCATAACCCTCATAAAAGTCTAGTTAGCATATGCTGTAAGTATACAGTAAGTGTTGTTTTTTAGACACAAGCAAATGAAAGCACAATGCATGTTGTCTCAGTGTTTCTTTGACAGGGTATTCAACAGCCAAGAAATAAAATAGCTTACATTTCTTTCCGTGAGCATCAGAACTCAGCTCCTCTAACTACTGACAAAC